GTTGATTAAAAATTTAGAGAAGTGGCACGTTTTACTACTTTTTGTGTCTATGTAATACATTTCTCACTATTCATAGATACAAATAAGTGGTTTGTTTGCCACATCTTTTTAACGTCTGGTTTCTGATCTCAGGAAATGCTCGGACCTGTCCAAGTAACTAGTAAGGTTCAACGTTGTTTATCATGTTTTTATTCATATACCATACAAAATAGATCAAATTAATGTACGCGGAGATGAATATGTTCAGTGTTTCCACTTTGTAATGTTTGTTTGTTTAAAATACCGTGCTTACAGGCGATCATATCCTTGGAAGGCAGAGATCCCCTTCTTAAGCTAAGGACACTCTAGCACTGAATGATGGAGGTTTTCCGTACATAACTCAAATTCGTTTAATAAATTCAAGCTCCATATTTGATGACTAGAATTGCATTGAGAGCATCATTACTTAAGCTATGTCATTTAATTGGTAAAATGTGAAGTAATTTATGTATTTTTAAAATCAATAAGGTTTTATAAATATATGAAAGAGTTCATAATTAAAAGGGTTAAGTAAGTCAAACAATAAAAAAATAGTTGTTTTATGTACTCTGACCGAGCTGTCAAAATCACCCTTACACAATAATTTTTGTCAGCACTTATATTTTTTTTCTCGTTTCCATAGTATAATTTCTATAGGATGCTTTTTGATTGAAATTTTCATGGCGGATCTATTGGTGGTGTCCAGTCAAGTCGTACACAAACTGAGTCGTACACAAACCAAGTTGTACACAAAAAGTCAACTCGTACACGAAAAAAGGTCAACTCGTACACAAACTAGAAGTCAACTCGTACACAACATTTATATACAATTGTTATGAATTAATCTTACACGATTAATGCTTAATCTATAAAAAATAAAAGTGAAGAGAAGTATTACTTTTCTTCTTTAATTTTTTTGATAAATACTAAATTTATTCAACTTCTTTGGGTTTTATTTATAACTGTTAGAAATTACTTCTACCTAGCAGTACAATTATTCTCTGCCATCCTTGGACTTTTAGTAAGACGTAGTATTCTCGGCACTACTGACTAGTGTCTTTCAAATGGCAAATAAATTTTCATTGGTTAAAAAATTAATAACATCAGGTACTTTTAATCATTGTTGACAATCATTAGACAACTTACCGCTAATCTTACTTTCTTATATGTCCTGAATTTATATCCCGGCCACATATATTTCAACGATGAATGAAAGCTGTGTAAATTTTAGAGGCTAAATACATAACATCAAGAATATCCCGCCTTACTGAAAGTCCTAAGATAACAGTGAATTTTACTAAAAGTGACCTTGGATGGCAGGACCCCTCCTTGGAAAAATTGATCTATGCAAAATTGGTATGAAAAGTCATTGGTATGATGCTTTAAAAGTCAACAACTCCCTGAGTAAATAGAATGTTCTATGTTAAAGTGATATTTTGATATGGATCCAGTGAGCATTTGTTCCATGAGTTTTGACACAGATTCTCGAACCTGAAATTGTCTGAGCTGATGAACATCATTATAGGTATTGAATATTTAATTTGTATGTATACTTGTATATTAAAAGTACCTGAGGAATAATACATGCATTATGAACTTGGTCTAGTTTTAAAAAAAAACTCTTTTCTGTTGCTCTGTGCCTAAAATAAAAACATTTAATCAAGACATCCAAGATGGTTCAATTTGACTTGTACTGGAGTTTAGGCAGTTCAGTTATACTTCTTTAAAATTGTATTCTAATAATGAAATTAAAAAAAAAAGATTTTTTTCTTCTCCAGCTTTTTATCATGCTACATGACACAGCACAAAGTCCTAACTCATAAGTTTGGGAAGGACTCTTCATTCATTTGGGGGAAAATGGTTTGATACAAGTTTTGCATGCTGGTCCAATACATTATCTGGCTTTTTGGAACTGTGTTGCTTAGTGCATATTGATGTTAAAATAGATAAATGTGTAGGTGTATAATATTATTAAGCTCAATATGATATCAAAAACTATTTATGTAGGAAAAGAAAGAACTGAATAATCACTGGGAAAGTTATGCTATTTTTTTTTTAAACAAGTATCTTGATAAACCAAGTTTAACATCAACAGAAAAAAATTATATAATTGTCTCCCCTTTCACTGAAAGTGGGGATACTAAATTTAGGTCTGTGCATCTGTCCGTGTGTCTTTCTGTCTGTCTGTAACACTTTCAAGAAGCCTTTGCATTGAAATTTTACACAGCAACTCTCTGTGGCTAGGGAGACCCTTATTGATTTTGTGATCAAAGGGTCAAGGTAATTATGTAATAAATTCTGTATGTTGGAAAATTGATTTGTTTTTGAAAAAAAAAATACTGTCATAACTTTTATGAGACAGTATTAATAATTTTTCATTCAAATAAAAAGCTACAATCTTGACATAAATCCATAAAATCTAAACTGAAACTGGTTATCTTTGTTTTTAATGATTAATGCATGATTAAACCATGCACGAACAACCTAATTGTATAATTATAACATTGTAAGCACTCGGCTTAACTAACAGAGTTGATTTTGTGAAATGTTGGATTGAAATTTTATCCTTTTCCTTATTCCTTTTTATATCACCCTCTATGATCTCATAGGCATTCCTATTTATCATCTTATACATGTATTCCCTTCTTTGTTACTGTCATATTGTTATTTGTGGGTTTAAGTCTAACTATCATTACAGTAATCATGGTAATGCATAAAATTGCACATTATCTTATTAGCGACTGATATCTATTGCTATACTATTCACGGGTGCTTGAAGACATAAATATCCCCTTCCCCATCCGATATAGACCCCTTGGTCTGTTCGACGTATGTTTTTCTCATTTATTATACATATTGTATATACCGTAGATGAGAAATATGTAATTTTATCATCAATTTGGAAATTGGCTCTAGCAAACATATAACAAGAGGCCCAAAAGGTTCGAAAATGGTTATGTACTATGTACAAGTATATAAGCAAACGATAATGACTTTCGACAAAAGAGAACCATTTATTTGTTACTCTGTATTTTTTCAACTTCCAGAGAATCGAACCCAGGACACCTGTCAGTGTAATGACATGTGCAGCAATACACTACATTGTATACCCAAACCACTACAAATGATAGCTAAAGATTATTGTGCACTAGCTTTAAAACAAATTTTTCCAAATTTTCAGCATATATGTCACATATTATGTGTATTAAGGAATTTTTTTGTCAATGTATCAATGTCCTTTCCTACTTAAATGAAATATTCTGGGTTTTTTTTATCAATAATTATTTTATGTTTCAGTGCAAGGATATACCAAATAACAGAGCATTAATATGTGTGCAGTAACTGTTTTATGTATGATATATACATTGTAAACAAAAAAAAGTTTTCCATATTTTTTTTTTCAAAATCCTGAGTCAATCCCCAGGGGACGATATTTTAATTCAAACAATCGAGAAGAGACGACATATAAAAATCGGAATATTGAAGCAAAGTAGTTAGGTACCTGAATACTTCCAGAGCCGTACGTGGTTCGAAAATGGTTATACTAAGCCTATGTACAAACATGTAAGCAAACGATAATGACTTTCGACAAGAGAACCATTTATTTGTTACTCTGTATTTCTTCAACTTACAGAGACAAAAAACGACCCGATTGTCGAAGTCTTTTAGTTATCTTGTACTCGAGACAATGAATCTTCCATGCCATCTTTGTTGTACTTTCGGTTTGACGAATCATCTAAATTTAAACTCTCCTTCGATCATGCATCCCGGAAAATAACTGAACATCGTATATTTATGCCTTTTATTTGGAAATTAATGTACCTTTTTTTTTACGGTAAGTGAAATCGATGTCAGGCATTTTTGATAGAATAAGCGTCGGGCGCGTTTGACGTAATAACGTCACAAACGAGAATAACGTCACATAACGTTATTTTACGTGGTATGGATCTTTACCTTAAATCACAATTTCACAAATAATTCGCATATTTTCTCATCGTAATTACCTATTTTCCAATGTATTGTAGTTTTATAATACATATTGATAGATTCTTAATAATTCACAACTCATTTATATGTTTTATACTACGTTTTATGTGACGAAGCACTAATTCCAGACTCAGACCCAAGATATTGGGTTCCCGCACGCAAGCGTTTGTGACGTCAGACCCAATATATTGGGTTCCCGCACACAAAGGGTTAACCTGGTCAATCATCTGGAAAATGTAGCTCAGATGCAGCATCCAAAGCAAGTCTGGTAGTGTCCATCCCTAGATGCATCATCCGTGCAAGTTTGATACGGGAAGGGCTCACAGTTACTTGGGAATGGACCTGCTCCAAAAACTTTGACCTGGTCACTCATCTGGAAAATGTAGGACACATCCAGCATCCGAAGCAAGTCTGGTAGTGCCCATCCCTAGATGCATCATCCGTGCAAGTTTGGTCCGGGTAGGGCTTATAATTTCTTGGGAATGGACCTGCTCCAAAAACTTTAACCTGGTCACTCATCTGGAAAATGTAGGTCACATCCAGCATCGGAAGCAAGTCTGGTAGTGTCCATCCCTAGATGCATCATCCATGCAAGTTTGGTCCAGATAGGGCTTATAGTTACTTGGAATGGACCTGCTCCAAAAACTTTAACCTGGTCACTCTTCTGGAAAATGTAGGTCAGATGCAGCATCCGAAGCAAGTCTGGTAGTGTCCATCCCTAGATGCATCATCCATGCAAGTTTGGTCAGGGTAGGGCTTATAGTTACTTGGGAATGGACCTGCTCCTAAAACTTTAACCAGGACGCCGACGGTATAGCATAAGCTCATCTCGACTTTGTCGAGATGAGCTTAAATTCACACAACTTCTTAGCATTTTGAATATGATATGATTTGGTGTTTTGGAAATTTTGTTCTTACTCTCAACGCCTCTATTCTGTTTTGATTAAAACCTAGCATTCTGCATCCAAGTGGGGATTACTTATCATAACACGTACCAGATACCAGAACTCTGTATTCAGATCTTCTGGATGGAGGTCCACCTCGCCCTCCACCCATTCCTCGACTGCTCCCTCGGAAGCCACCACCACCACCACCATACCCCCCTCCTCCTGATCGTGGCCCTCCTGGTCCACCACCTCGTGGAAATTCAACTCGCAGAGTGTATCCATCATAGTTATAACCATCTCTTTCATGTACAGCATCTGATGCATCTCTGGAAAGAATAAAAACTTGAGGTAAATAATGGCATGCTGTGCATCTCAAATCAGGTGCAGCACTGTGATTAATCATTTCAGCCCTACCCAAAAGACTGTAACTTAGTTCTCTTACCAATTAAAACTAATTGGATTACAGTTTTAGGAATAACAAAGATTTCTATGATACATATTCAAAGACTTTAGATGCACAGTCACAGTCAGTGCACTAATTTTGGAAAATCAATTATGACTATTGACTGGTAATAATTCAGTACAATGAGAAGCAATCATACATGCCTCCATGCCTCAATGCACACAAGGTAGTGGACAGTTAAACAATAAAAAATGATCTTTTGCTTAAAAGTACTCAAAAGCTGCAAAATTGAAACTAGGCTTCCTTTGATTTTGGTTGTTGTTTTGATAGCCCTTACATAGACTGCATAGCCAAAATCATTCATTCCATGATGAATACGAAGATGGCTATCACAGAAAGCAATATATGACAAAAATAATTTTAAAGAAACTTGGTGTTCCTTAAAGAAGTGAATATATCAGTAGTTTGTTTACCTTGGGTCTTCAAACTCTACAAAACAAAATGGTGGACCTCTGCGCGTTTTCAAGTCAACAAACGTAATTCTTCCAAACTTGTAAAATAAATCTTCGATATCTCTGGCTCTTATGTCTGGTGGTAAATTACCCACATATATTCGCGAGTCATTTCCTCTGGACATAGCTAAACTTCAAGTTTTTGAAAAGAATTTCTGGTTTGTCTTTGTCCGTCAGGCGTGGTTTTGAAAACGAGGCTGATCAATTCTAAGTCAGAATCATCCAAACGTTTAACCCCACAAGGAAAGTGGTAAAACTAGTGCTATGCACTCCCTAATCCCCCAGATTTCCATTTGTTTCGTCCATTATGCTCCAAACTTGCCACAATAGTATTTCACAGAAATTTCAGTCTGATAAAAATCAATCCATTCTCCTTACGATGATAGGATTTTTTTATCAGACTGTAGAAATTTCTAATTTTAATAGCCATGGCAACATCATATACTATGACGTTTCAATAAATTAAAACGGATAACTAAAAGAAAATTTATATTTTAGAAGCCTTGCATCGATTTTGAAAGGGGCAATCATAGAAAAAAAACTTCACCAAAAAAAAAAAAAATTGCCCAAGCTGAAAAATTCTATTCTGTGGGGTAGGGAGGAAGGGGATGGGGAAGGGAATAGTTTCCAATTACTTATTTTAAGTAAGCACACTACATAACCCTTATTTCACTTTACTGCAACAAAAAGTGGTGGGGCACTGGCCTTTCATCTTTGTCTGTATGGAAATACAGCTACGTGTCTCAGCTTAGTCTACATGTACTTGTATATCGGGAAATATTGAAATCCGACCAAAACGGTATGAGTAGTGTTCTGAAATTATTCACAGAAATGTCTATTTTTAGTAACAATAGAAAGGCAGTTCATCGTATCCAGAATTTTTATTTTAGGCCGCTCCAAGTTAATTTCTTGTTCGTCAGACTTCTGATGAAAAAAGTATGAGCGGGCAAGCGAATCAATAATGATATTATTACTTTTTTGAAGGCCAAATTGTTAGGCGTGGTCTTAATACAGTTTATTTGTTTGCCATGTTATATTGAAATCAGAACAATAATTAAGAAGGAGTTTTGATAGTATTTCACAGAAAATGATTACATTTTTAGTGATAATAGCATAACCGTTTCTCAAGTTTTAAAAATAATTATGATTTGAGTGGAGTGTCTGTGCCAAGTTATACTCAGGCTGATATATCAAAATTGAAATAATGGAGAAGTAAGTTTTTTTTGTTTTGTTTTTGTTTTGTTTTGTTTTGTTTTGTTTTTTTTTTTACAAATAACTACAGACAATCAGATATGGTCTCTGACCAAGTATGGCTAAAAACAAACAAAGCTAAAGACAGGAAGTTGGAATTTTCTTTATATATATATTACATTCCGACTCACATCGTTGAATCAACAGCGAAAAAGATGAAAATAATAATAATAAAAAAAAAATAACAAAAAACTTAGTATGTAAAATATTGTGTTTATCACCAATTCACCATTAATTAAGTCTTTTCCTTCCCTGCGTTTCTCATGGGCGGATACAGGATTTGTGTTTGGCGTGGATATCTTCGTTCAGACCGGGGGTCTGGGGGCCCCTGGAAGCTCCTTGGTTTTTGTGTATTTCAAGAGTAAATACAAAAATGTAATATGGTATTAAATTATTAATATTAGTCATATCTTACTTTGACCCCACCCCTTAAATCCGCCCGTGTTTCTATACTCTTCACATGATCATTTCGCGCTAAATGTCGCAAAAAGCTGCATGGCATATATGATTTCAAAATTTATTCCCGATGTGTGTGTGTGAGGGAGAGGGTGTGTGTGCATGTGTACTTATAAACTCGAAAGGTTGTGTATCTTTTTCTTTTCCACTTAACTTCATATTTTGCAACTTTTCAGTTATAATCGGTGAAGAATGTGTATTTCTTTTACAAAAAAGTTATATGGATGGCTTATTAAAGAACAATCCGTGGGGCATTTGGTGTTGCCATATATAGGTATGGATGATATATGATTATATATAAGAGCCAAGAGCATTACACTGTGTACAGAGGCGGATGAAAAGGTAATTTATAAATTAGTGCCTATATAGATTCAAGTTACCTCCTAATTAATTATACACGTGTACAGTATATGCCGCACTGCGTTAATAGCACATTATGGTTTTCAATTTTATATGATAATATTAAGGTACTAGCCGATCCTCATGCAGGTTCTGAAAATCTTGCGTTGAATATATAAAAATGCTCATAAAACATCTCAGAATTTTTAAAGTATAAAACATGTTTTTTTCCAACGGTATAATCAAAATTCATCGGTATTTCTCTAATATAATTACAAACCGCCTCTCCTCCTACGGTAAATTCTGCTCGTCCATAATTATTGTAAATATGTATATATGTACCTCCTGTACCATACATATGATTTTTGAGAGAATGAATGAATAAAGGATCGGACATCCTTAACCGATATATGAACATGTTGAGTTGAAATTTATTTTGGTGTCGGAAGGAAATTGAAAAGGGGGCTAATATTGGAGGAGAAAAAAATCCAACCACTAAAAAACCCGACAATAAAAAAAAATTAATAAAAATAAAAAAGAAAGAAAGAGAGAGTTGTCCAAACACGTACGAAAATCCTATTTCGTTGGGGGGTTGTTGTTGTTAGGATCGAACTTAATTCTTCCTGTTCATTTTTTGCTCAAACAGAACCATTCACTTACCCTTCAATATACACCAGAACGTGGAGGTGGTACTCTCCAATGTTCAATGTCTATATTATGTCTGTCTTTGCAAATGATTAAGGAGGGGGCTATGACCCCTATACCCCTCTCCCAGGTTCCGACGCTTTGAATAAAAAAGAATTAATGAATAAATAAATCAGACACGTATAAAAACTGGTTTTATAAACTTGCAAAAGAGAGTGGTAGATATTGTCCTCTATATACAAAAAATTGAATTTTTCAAATAAAATTTGTATATGACAATTACAAATTTTAATTTATAAATTCAATTTATATTTCCACATCAAGAAAAGAACGATGTTGTATTGTTTGCATTACTGGTGTGATTGAGGATGAAATTCATTTTCTTATTCACTGTAAATCTTATTCTAAGGTAAGAAACACATACCTATATGAAAAAAAAATGAATTATTTCAAAAATAGGCTATTTAAAAACTTATCTATCTAGTTTTGGATTAAGTAAAGCTGTGTCGATGTTTCTCAATTGTAAATAATATGTAGATTGTACCTGAAACATGTAACATACTTGTGTACATATATATATGTGAGCGCACATAATTTCTGAATTAAAAAAAATTAGATCCACCACCGTGATAAGGCAATTTACAGTGCATTGTGGGTTGATATGCGAAATATTACGCGAAATGTTTTTATCCAATGAAAGCCCAAGAATAAAATTAGAAAAACCAATCAGGTTTTAGAACTTTAGCAACACATATATTTTAGTTGAGCGGTTACCAAGTAAGGTCACTCGCAAGATTTCTTGAATCTCAGCACCAACATCCCACTTTAGGAAGGAAGGTAAGTTTATTATTATTATTATTATTTTTTGGAAAAGACCTTTGAAAAAATTGCTAAATTATAGAAGTTGCATCCAAGTACACATTTAAAAAAATAATGAACATGAAGGACATAAACTGGGCACTGTTTCTATGACAACTAGTTGATGATATTTTTGTTTACAACTGAAAACCTCGAAAATAGAATGCAGTCACCACAGGCAGTGCAAATGTATCTTTCAATAAAACTTTCAATTTAACGAGCTGGTAAAAATACGAACTTGAGAATTGTAGGTTATAAAAAAGAGGTGCGTTCAACGGCGTATCAGCTAACTTAGCAGCTAAGTGGTAGATATCTATCTCTATTGAACAGACAGCTAACTTAGCTGCTAAGTGTTATATTTTGAATGAAGATTTATCAGTAAAAACTTATTACTGGAACAAATAAAGTTTATTTCAGACGAAAATATATATTTAAATTTACATTTAATTCACTTAGATATAGGAAATCAATAACCCTTTTTGTAAAAATCTTGAATGCTGCGAATTTGTAACCAAGGAAACCATCTTGGATTTGGGACGTAGCATTAAATTTTTATGCTAGCTCTCCATACGTAGCAGCTAGGTTAGCTCTCTGTTCAAGAGCGTAGCTTTACATAGCGGGTATGTAGCAGCTATGCTGTTGAACGCACCCCAGGTAGACCGTAACCATGGTAACGTGATGACAGATTTGAAGACATGCTTTTACTATGCAGGGCTCGACATTAACTTTTTTTCCTACTTGTCCATTCGGACAAGTGACCAAGACATTTACTTGTCCGAATCTCAACTTCACTTGTCCAAAAATTTTCAAAAAAGTTCAATAGTTTCAACTTGAAAATTAAAATTAAGTCCATTTTATTTACACGTCATGCGCTTGATTGATTCTTGATGTTATTGATAAAAACCGGTACAACAGACACATAAAACGAAATTTAATTTAGGCTTTCTGTCCTGACAATAACGTAAATGTCCACAAGTGAACCTGTCAACATCAAACAATATTCACACTTCGGTTCGTATCTTCCATGACTTTTCATTTTAGTATGCAATTAGTGAACTTCGATCCCGATCGAATGTGAACACAATATTAATATAGCGATACATATCGGGATCGAAGTTAGGATTTTATGTACAGCTTCCGTCTTGAGACTACCGATTTAGCTTTCAACAGTCGTTCTTTTTATTATTTAGAGACCCCTTTACATTAAAATGCACTTGTCCAATCGGACAAGTGCCCAGCAATATTCACTTGTCCGAATTTATTTTTCATTGGTACCGGACAAGCGGACAAGTGTTAATGTCGAGCCCTGCTATGACATTTTTTCTTTAATTTACAGTCAACCATGTCTGAAAGGAAAGCTGTCATTAAGAATGCTGACATGTCCGAGGACATGCAGCAGGATGCCGTTGACTGTGCCACAACAGCCCTGGAAAAATACAACATAGAGAAGGACATTGCTGCTTACATCAAGAAAGAGTTCGACAAAAAGTACAACCCCACATGGCACTGCATTGTTGGAAGGAACTTCGGTAGCTACGTAACCCACGAGACCAAACACTTTATCTATTTCTATTTGGGACAAGTTGCCATCCTTCTCTTCAAATCTGGTTAAACAGTGTTTGAAAACTAGTCTAACTTAAAACAATTTTTTTCAATGGGGGAACAGACTTTACACAAAAGGTTGGATGGAATTTTTCTGTGCTGGAGATGTATTTTGCAAACTTTTTACAAAACGAAGACTTTGATTTGCAAGGTTGCATTCATTTGTATAGTTAATATTTTGTTAATTTATTTTGTATGAAAAATATGTAAAAGAGCTAGAAAAATCATTGAAATTCATTGATAGAATCTGTTACTTATCCACATAATTTGAAGAAGTAACAAGTTCAATAAACATATACCCTTGTTATATTTTTATATATAAATGTTTTATTTAAATTTTAATGTATTTGTGGTTTTGTCATAAATTGCCTTCCTGGTGTTTGAAGCAATGACCACAATTGTACTGCAATACCTTAAATGGAAAACAAGTGAGATGTTTGAAGTCCATAGGGCCTAAAATAAAAATTTGTTTGTTTGCAGTTGCCTACTGACCCACTGAAAATGCACTTGACCCTAACTTTTTTAAAGCCATTTTGTGATATTTTTTTTTTCTTTGAGTTTTCAGGATATTGAAAGTGTTTCATTTTCATTGTTTGACATTTGCTTTTATCAATCGGTTGTTAATAACAAAAGTGGAGCTTAGTTATGTATAGTAGGCCTATGAAAAGCTCTATTCATTAACAAAAATCTAAAAACATCCTTTCACCAAGAAAAAAGAATTCCTACCTACCTACCCAGTCCAAAAATTATAGGTTGGCAACTGCAAACAAAAATTTTTTTTAGGCTTGGCCTAATGTGAATTCTACAAATATGAAATGGACACTTCCCATGAAGGGAAGTCCAGTTTTAAGATATGTCGATCCCTTTTGGTAATACTTTCATCCACACTGAATGTTTGCATTTAAAGTGGAGGAGTTGAGAAGTGTTTTTGAAGATGGCTATTCAATTCTCACACAGTGCCCAGAGTATCAATAAAGTTTATTTCTTAGCGTTAAAAAGTTTGAAACTATTCAAACCTCGGTTACACAAGTTGTTAATTTTTTCGTAGAACTGATGTATTTGTCTTGGTTTCCTGTAAAATTGAACCCTAGTTAAAATTATATGAAGGAGACTCTTCAATCAAGGGATAAATGAATATATACAGGTCACAGGCCTTCAGATCGCTTTGATCTTACCGACATGTATAAAACATATATGTTTTTTTTTTATACATGCCGGTAAGATCAAAGCGATCTGAAGGCCTGTGATACAGGTACTATGAAAAAGGTCTGTTTGGATTTAAACTTTGCAAAGGTAAGAAACGCAAGTTTTATAGTGATGGGCCAGGGAGTTAAAAGAGTGAGCAAAGCAAAACAGAAGCAGCAGGCAATTCATTTAATCTTTTTGATTGCAACAAATAGATTTCTCAAAACACCATGGCACAGCAGTATTAGATTTGGAGGAACAGGAGTCCCAATATTTTTAGTTATGATGAATCTCACAAGGGGTAATTTGCTCCGACTTCCAAAACGAGCCAATTTTGACTCAATTTAGGCACATCCCTGCAATTAAAACTAAGACGCCACAGTGTAAACAATGCAATATATATGATGTCACAATGCTTTTAGAGTGTAAGAATATGTACATGCATGAGGCTTTATTAGGACATTGACCGAATAAATCTGGTTTATAAGGTTACCTTTGTTAGGTCAATGCAAGGGGTAGTTGCAGGATAAAATGAATCAACATAAGAGGAGTCTTGGCTTCTGGTCTTTCATTTGACTGGAAACTATATTTTACATCTTGAGTATTGATTGCACAGTAGACAGGAATAAATAATTTTCAAGAAACAAATACAGTAAAACTCAGTTATAGCGAAGTCCTTGGGATCTGTGAATTTAATTCACTATATCCGTAATTCGTTATATCTGTATAATGAATTCGTAGAACCATTATAGTGAATTCGCAATATGCATGTTTTTCTTCAAGTATTACTACCAAATATGTTAGGGAAGCAAATATAACAAAAAATATCTTTGATAACTAAGGTTTTATTATGAATTGAATTTTATATACGAATACTAAAAGGAAATAAAGTCTGTTCAACATATAAATTTTTTTATAATCTTGAGAAGTTTGTTATGAAAGATGTAAATTCTATTATATTCAACCTCAGCGGGACTCAAAATCAGTTCGCTATATCCGTAAACTCGTTATATCAAAGTTCGTTATAACTGTAAAATTTTACAACTTAAGATTTGTTAAGAATTTTGCCGGGAACCCAGAAAAACTTCGCTATATCCGTGAATTCGCTGTATCCGTGTTCGTACTAAATGAGTTTTACTGTAAGTGGTTTATAATTAGGTTTGACCAGCTATGGATTCTGAAACTATATACTGAAAAGAATGACGCCTGTGAAAGTAAATTACTAGTATATCTGAATAGGAAAAATATTGATAAGATACTGGCATGAAGCAGGGAGCCTGAAATTGAACATAATTAGCAACACCCTGAGCTGATAGCTCAAGTGAGCTATTCTGATCACATTCTGTCCAGCATCTATCAATCCAGCTGTCTGTCATTAAACTTCACAATTTTAACTGGTTCTCAAAACCATTGGACTAAATTGGCAAGAAAAACTGAAATGTGGGACCATTATGGGTAAGAAGAAGGTTGGGGACACAAAAAGTATTACAAGGGGGGACATCTGCCGAGGGCCCAAGTTACTTAAGTCAGCATTGACGATTGTGACCCATGGGCCTCATCTTAAAGTCAATTTTCAGCTTTTGAAAAACAGATGTAATCATGTTTTGAGAGTAACTGCTTACTAATAAAATGTCACAAAAATGATAATTCAAAAAACATTATTCTATAAAAAAAAGAAACAACATGAGTATACAAATAAACACAAATACACAAAATACACAAATTCATGCAGCTACCCATGACAAGAAAACACTCAGGTGTAATAAATGCACATGTATATACCCCAGTGTGGATATCAGGAATAGGAAAACTAACATGACTTCCTATTTTTGAGTCATGTTCAGCATCGATTACATACAGACATATTTTGTAAGTGATTAATGTAGACAATTAAATTTAACTTTTCATCAATTTATATCCAGAGTGAACAGCAGATACACCAAATGTTAAATTTTCATATGACACAATCCCAAATCCTGCATGTTGAAGCATTGCTGCAAATCTTCTCTGAAAAGAAAAAGAAAAGGTACAATGCAACATGCAATGTTTTTAGCTCTACTGGTCAGAGACCAGAAGAGCTTATGCGATAGTAATGCGTCCGGCGTCCGTCCGTCTGTCTGTAAACAATTTTTCAAAATGCTACTCCTCCTACAGTTTTGGTCTAATTTCAATATAACTTGGCACACAAGTAGACTACACTAAGATACATAATTCTGTGTATCGGTTTTTGATTTCGATGAACGGTGTTGCTGTGGTTACTAAAAATAGAAATTTCTGTGAAATTCTTTCAAAATGCTACTCCTCCTACAGTTTTGATCTGATTTCAGTATAACTTGGCAAACAAGTAGACTACACTAAGATACATAAATCTTTGTACCAGTTTTTGATTTCGATGAACGGTGTTGCCGTGGTTACTAAAAATGGAAATTTCTGTGAAATTCTTTCAAAATGCTACTCCTCCTACAGTTTTGGTCTGATTTCAGTATAACTTGGCACACAAGTAGAATACACTAAGATACATAATTCTCTTTATCAGTTTTTTGATTTTGATAATCGGTGTTGCCGTGGTTACTAAAAATATGAATTTCTGTGAAATTCTTTCAAAATGCTACTCCTCCTACAGTTTTGGTCTGATTTCAGTATAACTTGGCACACAAGTAGAATACACTAAGATACATAATTCTGTATATCGGTTTTTGATTTCGATGAACAGTGTTGCCGTGGTTACTAAAAATAGAAATTTCTGTGAAATTGTTTCAAAATGCTACTCCTCCTACAGTTTTGGTCTGATTTCAGTATAACTTGGCACACAAGTAGAATACACTAAGATATATAATTCTGTGTATCGATTTTTGATTTTGATGAACGGTGTTGCCGTGGTTACTAAAAATAGAGATATCTGTAAAATTGTTTCAAAATGCTACTCCTCCTACAGTTTTGGTCTGATTTCAGTATAACTTGGCACACAAGTAGAATACACTAAGATACATAAATCTGTGTATCGGTTTTTGATTTTGATGAACGGTGTTGCTGTGGTTACTAAAAAAAGAAATATCTGTAAAATTGTTTCAAAATGCTACTCCTCCTACAGTTTTGGTCTGATTTCAATATAACTTGGCACACAAGTAGAATACAGTAAGATACATAATTCTGTTTATCGAATTTTAATTTTGATGAACGGTGTTGCAGTGGTTACTAAAAATAGAAATGTCTGTAAAATTGTTTCAAAATGCTACTCCTCCTACAGTTTTGGTCTGATTTCAGTATAACTTGGCACACAAGTAGACTACACTAAGAACATAAAGAGACTTTATCAACGATCATTATTCTATTTATTGCTGTTGTAAAGTTTCAAATCCCAGCTGCTTAAGTACTTTTCTCTTCCTTTGCTATAAGTTCAAACCAGTAGAGCTTCAGTCTCGACAGAGACTTCTGGTTTTTCTTACAGTTGTAAACCAGTCTTCAGTTATTCACTTTTTATGGCCATGGAGTGAACTTACCAAAATGACAATTGGCTCGAGTATTTTTCTTATGAAGTATTCTATCATTAGAAAGTTATAATATGGACCTTGAACTTGCCAAATGACCTTGGTATGAGATCATGAAACATCAGAACAATGGTTTATGTATTGTGACAAGACCTTTCTTTGGGTACCACCAAATTTGACCTGTTGACCTTAAACTTGGAGTTTGACAGACTTTTAATGAAAAAAAAATACCACACTTTAACCCTAGCCATAACTTTTGAACAGTTTGAGTACGGCTTTCATACTAAGTTCACATGTGTATTTACTATAACAAGATCTTTCAGCTGGTATAAATGTTTTTGACTTTTGACCTTGACCTAAGAGTTTGACCCACTTTTTAAACTTTAACATTGGTAATAATTTTGAACAGTTAGAACTAGGGCTTTCATATTTCATTGTTGTATTCTTTGTAACAAGACTTTTCTTAGGGTACCAACACTTTTAACCTTTTGACCTTGACATTTGGAGTTTGACATGCATTTAGGAGATAACAACCCTCGCCATAAGTTACGGGGACATCAGTGTTTCACAAACACATCTTGTTAATTTTACTTTCATGTGAAATGCTATAGCAATAATTATATAAGTAATGATATAATACATGTACTGAAACAGAAAATTTGAGAAAAT